CTTAGGCAAAAGCCTCGATCCTGTGTATCAATCGGTGAATCCGTGAAGGAGGATATATTACAGTTGGTATGTCGGGAGAAGCTAGACATTTAACAGCACGTAGAACGTAGGCAGCAACCCAAATGCGTCCGGCGGTTCCTCAAGTCCCGTTGATGAGTTAGGCACTTTTGACAACATTTCGTGAATACACGGTGCCAAAACGCTACGGAAACAGATAGAGTAATTTCAGTTTCCAAGCGGCTTTGAAGGTGATCTAGACCCATCGAAGACCGAAGGTTACACAGACGCCCGCAGGAGACCGCTTAACTGGAACTGTGCTGTCCATACGTGAATCGCAAGTTAAACCCCAACTCCACGAAGTTTGCGATATTATCCAATCAGCGTATTCAGACAATACATCAACCGGCTCATGGGTCAATATGGTTTAATTGTGTCCATCTGGTTGCAGTAAATCCAAGACTCAAACAACTCTGAAAGTTTGCTATCACTGATCCAGTGGAACTGTTTTGACTTTCGATGCATCGACGGCCAAACGCAGTCTCTGAAGGTATCCTGAGTCCATGATCCATAAAATCGAACCGACCCGCATTGGTGTATGATCTAGCCTAAATAGCCAACCGATGTCACGTCGACGCCACGGTTATCGGGAATAGGCGGGTAATGTCCCGAATTCGGGAAATGATATCATCTTTCAGCAGTCCTCCGAGGCTTATGCAGCTGCGCTCAGACACGTTCTGCTTCGTAGGTGTGACCGTCAAGCAAAGACGACCTTGTCGCAGCGCGATTGTTTGTGCTCCACGCAAACCGTTGGGCTATACCGGGAAGTGCGTATGTGACACAGAGCCTCAACTTGGTTAATCAATATGTAGAGGTCTGATTAACAGTCTCCCGGTCCTCCGTTTGGAGCGAAAATTATGAGCGGCGACTTACCCTTTAAAAAGTAGGCTATTCTGATATCCTAAACCAACCACTGCTTCCTTGTGGTTGGGGTACCCGGAGCAGAAGCGTGATTCCGACCAGAAGTGAGCTGTGTTGAGAAGGCGAGATGGCTCAATAGTTACAGTGCGAATTCACTGACGGGAAGTTTGTGCTTTGAACCCAAACTCTGGATGTCAACCTCTCCTGTCCAGGCTTGGGCAACCTGGCGATATCCCAGACCTCGGGGGGCAGGACAGCTGAACGATTTATTTCACAGCGTATTGGGGTAACCACCTCTCCACACTCCGTCAGGTGTTACGGCAAATGGATGTAGACGCTGCCAAGCAGTGGTCGTTGGACTGGCACCTTCCTCTGAATGACGAAAAGTGCGTCCATATGTCGTTTGGAGGAGACTCAGCGAATGCCTTTGTTATGCATGGTGCGAAAGGACCAGAAAACATCATGATAGATGCCAAAAAGGATTTGGGCATCTGCGTCTCCTCAAACTTGTCCTTCTCACTGCACCACGAAAAATCGGCCCAAATGGCGTTCGGCATTCTACGGATGATCCGACGCAACTTCTCCCATATCACTCGCGTGGACTTCCAAATACTCTATGGGGCCTAC